CCTACAGTTTGACAATTCATGACCATAATTCTGAGCTTGTGAGACAGTTTTCTTTCAATTAATTATCACAGAAAGCACTTTTTACAGAGCAAGTTTGATCCCCTGCCTGATCCTTCCCAGGAACCGCCTTTAAGCTCATATTCACCATTGCTCAGATATTGTATTTTATAATGCCAATATAAGAATCTAGGGAGAGGCAGAGAAGAGTAGATGGCACGTCAAGGAATCAGCTCCGAACAAATTTCTCTGGGGAATTTTTCTGGATCAGTCACTTGCAGTTTGCCTGTGTTTAGTGTTGTAAATAGGATTAGAAGAAAGAGGTAGGGATTATGTGGGTAACAGTCTAGTTGGCAGAAAGACAAATTAATCACAAAAAAGCAAAGAAACCGCAACACACGCTGAGCTGGGCAGGTTCATGTTTGAACAGCTGCTCTGCATAATGAATTACCAGGATGCTCTTCAAAGAAAAAAATTACCTTTCCTTTTCTTAGTATTATTCTGACTATTACAAAATCATTTTACCACTTGGATGTTTTAAATAAAAAACAAATCTGTACCTGTCGTTAATGGACTTATCCACATACAAATACAGGTCAGGCCATAGTTCCATGTAAAGATGAACAAATCAGCTGGAAAATATCATAAGGTCTAGAGTATCTAATATACAGTTGTAATGCAAAATTCAATGACTGAATATGAATATGGTCAGCAAATTAGAGAAGTCCATCTCCAATTATTCTGCTGACAAATATAATGTAACCCAAGGAGGTCTGTGCAATTACACAGCATTTATGAATCAACACCACAAAATGCTAAATGCCTCTTGTTACATAAATGTAACTCTAGTACAAATGGCTATGCTGCACCACTATGGAGTGAGAACTGATAGAAAGAAAAGGTAGTGTAATATTTTTCTGAGTTTAGAATGTGTGCAGACAGGATTTTATACTCTTTATGCTATTGGTGCATGAGAAGTGATATAGATGACATCTGAAAAGAAGGTGGAATAAAGAGAAAAACATGTTGTACGTGCTTTTGTACTATGTACAATTTGACTTATCTATAGAAAGGTTGTCATTAATCCCTAGTAATCTTTCTGAAATAATTCTCACTAAGATATGACTTAGAACAGCAAGAACAAAACACGCTGTTAGCCGATGGAATCACTATCATATTTAAAAATCAGATAACAGTCCTCCCTCAATTTAAAGTAATTTTAAGCTTCATACACTAGCAGCACCTTTCCATTTTGCAGTTAGTGAGGCACCTGAGAGCCAACTATCACACTTCTTCTGTTGTGTCAGATCCAGAAGTACTAGAATCTTGGTGGAGATTTGTAAAAGATTAGTGATCCTCCAAAGCCAAAATAGTGAAAGTCTGTGAATTTTACTTTTAAATACTTTATTTATTTTTTAACAAATTCTTTTTTTTTCCTAATTTTTACTGTTCTCATAATATTGAACTTAAGACATGATACTTAACAGTCTTTGAATAGGTCAATGTTTTAAAATGTAATAAAATGAGCTGAGAGAAAAGTTCTTACATGGATAATTTGACTAAGAAGCTGGACATGAATGGAAAAATTATGTTTCATGTGACTCTGCTAACTATATCAATCTTTCTCTCAGCCTGAATAAGGGAGCAGGCAGCAATCTGCATGAATGGATTCTGAAAGGTGAGACAGAGGAAGACTTCTGAAGGAGTCAAAAAACTAAAATAAAAGTATCTGAAAAAAAACCCCCACCCAATGTATCTTAGGAGCTATTAAAACATAAAGTCCTTCTCATTTACCTTAAATTTTCTGAACTGAATTCTGACTCCAGGAATTTGAGAAACTGCTCTCTTCCCACAGGATCTTTCAAAGCTTCATCCATGCCAAACCCCCATCGTTTCACCCTCTGCTGTCCTGGCTCTTTGCTACAGAAGAAAAAAACAGCAGAACTCTCAATCAGGAATACTTCAGTATTCTAATACTCTGTGTTCATTATTCAGACTAAGTCCTAAAGTTCAACGATAGATTTCTCACTTCCAGATTGCTCATATGTGTGCAATGTTCAGAGATGAGCAACCAGGCTGTTAGTACTTACACAGGATGAAGGTAATACACATGCATTTACACAGAAGAGTAAGAACTTCCAACTAGGAAATGTTACCAGATTTTTAAAGATGTCTTTTTTTCCCCACACTGGAACACTGGAAATGGGTACTGTAGCTTTTTACACATTTTTATTAATCCACAGCTCTCCCCTCTTACGAGGGGAGCTGCAAAAAAAAAAGGAACTGCATTGCCCTTCTGTCTCAGTATTTTCCTGCAATATCTCTATTCGAAATCTTCATGTTTCAAGAAAAGCCTGTTATATCCCCTTACTCCAAAAGAAGAAATAAACTTATATACCTTGCCTCCAGTTCCCAGAAAGTGGTGTCATCTGATATCCAAGGGTTTGAGGGATCAGGGGGCACAAGAAAAGGATCATATTCCAAATACTGCTCTGTATAAGCTAATAGACTAGGAAAACAGAAGCGTCAAACATTGTCATGTCAGGAGGTGAGGAAACCTGATCAGGTTAACCCATTTAACAAATCACCTTGCATAAACAGAACCATGGTAACCGGGTGAGCACGTACTCAGAAGTCAGCTACAAGCTCAGGCTAAATTAGGCTTACTCAAGCCTTTTAAAAGTGGACTCCTGAAGAAGGAGGGGTGGCTCAGATCTTACCAAGCGCTGAAATTAAATAAACTACAAACTTCCCTAATAGTTTCCAATAGCTCCTTTTAGGCATTAATAAATGAAATCAAACATCTTCAATGCACATTTGCTTTCATAAAGGAGCATGTTTTATACCCCCCACAGTTCTAATTAGCAGTTTCTTTTAAAATCTGTTCTAAACCACTACATGCTATTCAGGTCATATTTATTGGCCCTGCAGCTGCTAGGACTCCTTTTTTCCTTTTTAAAATACAGTTAGTATTTTTATTATTTCCTAATCAAATGGCACTACTCTCAAGTTTATTTATTTCAAAAAAAAAACCCTATATTTTTTTCCAAATTCTTTGGTATTCATTAATTGGTCTGACTCAGCTGAACACGCTAAAAACTTTGCTTGCATTCTGGTGATTTATATGCCCCACTCCCTTATTCCCAATTTCTGTTTTCCATTGCCTCGTAATTATTGAAAGGTTATTGACAAGTGAGGACAAATATTCTTTCTTTTCATTCCTATTCATGTTATATTTAGTCTGTATTCTGATTTTACTGTTCAGCAAACACAAATTCTTAACCTGCCTACACACACATATATAAGTAGACACACATGCACAAACATATGAGAGGATGCAGAACCATTTGTATTTGGCTTAATTTCCTATTCTGAGTCTTAAGCAGCAAAATTTTCTGTGATTTTCACTATCCCTGTAAGGATGTGTAAAACAGAGCTTTCTTTACCTCTTCTCTGCATAAGCTGTAATTAGTCTTTTAAATGGGCTTTTTGTTTTGTTTGCTTTCTAGCCCCTTCCTGATGCATTTTTGTCTTATTTGGAGAAATATTCCTACTAGTGTTACATCCACTGATCCAAACTATACTCAGCCTCACTATGTTCAAGCACGGAGCTCCTCACCCAGCCAGCTCTGCCAATCTGTTCCTTTGCTTGATCAGCAACTTCCCTTTTGAAATATCAAAACAGTAACCCTGGACCTATTTCCATTTAGCCTCCCTGACAATGCAAGGTGGAACTTGTGACCACTTGGCGAGAAGCTCTTTCAGAGACTCCTAGATTTGTCAGAAATGTACAACAGAATATCTGGGCATCTCTTATCAATAAAAGAACTTCATACCTGCCACTAAAAGTAAACTCTCATCCATTGTTTCTATGACACCTGAGTTTCCCTGTCTCTCTTTCTTTGAAGCTATTTCATATCATCACTTTCCCAATAGTTATCAGTCTAATTGAAAAACCAGAAGATGTGACAATACACTTACCTCTCTGCAACTTTTGACATTTTTAATCTATGTCTGTCTAATTGCATTTGCCAGTGCTTAATCTGTAAGAAAGGAAGGCAAAGAGTTTTATGAGTAATTTCATTGCTTGACATTATTTTCATAACTTTTTTATTAGGGCTGTAATTTAACCTTAATTTATCCTAGGGCACAAAAGAGAAATATATCTGAGTTAAAATAATGTTTCACCAGTGTAGTTCTAAAATAAATGGAATTTTCCATCAAAGAGAAAAGATCATACAGAGACCAAAAAGGACCCAATATAACATTTTCCCTAAAGGTTCATCAACGGATATCTCAAATAGCCTTTTTTTTTAAGATTTTTTGAAGAGAACTACTAATTCTTTAGACATTTACCTTCTCCCAATTCTAAAACCTCAGGCAAGATTAATGAAGCGTTAACAGCAGCTAAATGTGTGAACCCCTAAATGCGTACACAGAGAGGCAAGTATACCCCCAAACCCCAAATCAGTGTTGAAAGCAAGAGCAAGCTGTCTACTGCTACAGGAGCTAATGGGCTTAGGTATGCGAAGAACCCATAACTGGTCTGCTCCTAAATGCCTTCAACTGATTAACACAAGATACAGAAAATGTCAGGTTTTGTCTCATTAGTTCTAAGAGAAGCTACAGACCTAAATCCATATATCCCAAAACAAAGAAAAGGTTTGCTAAACATCTGCTAGATCCATTCTGAACAACTTCCCAGTTATGACAATTTTTTGGTCTAAAAGGTTCGTTTAAATGTACATTCTTGCAGTTATTTTTCCAACCTCTTGGTGTAGTTCATCTTCTGTGGGTGGCTTAGTCTCCGGTACTGGTGTGTGGGTAGGGCTGTGACTTCGGATGTCATTTTGTAAGCCATAGACAGACTATGCAAAAAATATGGAACATGATAGTTGCTTTCAGACAATGCTTTCTATACACACTCATACTAAGTGTGATGCTTTAGTACAGTGTGCTCAAGAAGTTAGCCAAGATCATCTGTTTCTCAGGGAACTGCAGATAAGCCATACACTCATAAAATTGTGCTTCTATACCACGGTGTGAAATAAAAACTCCTAAACCCCCACAATTTTGTAATTCCAGAGAACACAAAATCTACTTTTATTACATCTTTATATTAACAGCATAGTAAACAGGTTGAATAGTAAACATGTTGAATGACACCAAAAGGCAGCTATTACAGTAAGTGGAGATGACCAGGATGAAAAGAAGAAACAGTATTCTCAAAGGTAGATTATCACAATGGATTATCTGGATGACTCCCAAATTTGCAATTACTGCTTGGTAAATTACACTAATCAGGACCTTTCACTACCATAAATAAAGTAAGCTAAAACTTTCTTTAAAGCCACTTTGCTTTTTAAAATATATTTTTCCATGGGTTGATGTAAAAATATCAAAGGAAGTACTTTAAAGTTGGAGTCAATCTACATTATTACGATGCAAAGGATTTGAAAGAAACTGTTGTTCCAATCCTGTGAGAACTTACACTGTTCATGTCTGGTTCCTAGTTTAGATTAAACTGACTTCCTCCACAATTTCTGTCATCTATTTGGAGCATAATTGTAAACTAGAGACACCCTTTTCATTAAGACTAGCACAAGAAAAACTGCTGTTATAGTATTTGTAATATATTTTTCCTTAGTTACTGACAGAAACTTTTTAACATGCTTTATTGATTTTACTAAACAACATGAATAAAGTGTACAAAAAATAATTTTTATTTTCATATTCTCTATGTATTTTTCCAAATAGCATTTATTTAGTATTAGTGATTTTTAAAATCTAATTAAGAGCTTATGAAATAACAGACATTCATGCATTCGTTCTTTGCAGCTGTAAGAAAAAGAGTTCTAAGAAACTATAAAACTTCTTGCTACAAATTACCTGCAGCTCCTGCTTTTGATATAATAATAGTACTTACTTTTCTTGTTTTATGTGGATTTCTCATTCTTGAAGATTTTTTTATATCCACTTCAGTTGTGTTTACACATCCAGGCTATTAGGAAAAAAAAAAAAAAAAAAAGATAGCACAAGGATAAAATCTCCAAAGGAACTCCATACTATTTTCATTGATATACTCCTCTTCGGTTTGTAAGGCTAAGAAAATAAATAACCAGAGGCATATAATAACCTGATATCCTTCTGCAGTTGTGCCTAAACAACTTACAAACTAATAAAGCATCTCAAGTAGCATTTCTTTGGCTTATTGTGAGAGAATATCTTTTGCTTTTTAGCCTTGTTTGCTGGGCCCTATGATAGTTTTTAGGACATGTTTTATTGTATATCTTTATGCTGAAAATACTGAAAGCATGTACAAATGTACAAAGGAGCAGAAAATATCCAAATGCATATTGTAAGACATACTTCCAATACAGACAGATATTGATTCTTTTTTTAAATTGCTATTGACAGCATTTGGGAATCTTGGAATGAGACTGAAGACCACATGTTTACAGCTCATGACATCATGAATTTGAAATAAATTCTCAAGATAACAAAGAAATCACATGCTTCTGCTTTGCTTTTGCCAAGAAAGCCATGCAATTTCCACTCTAGTTATCCATCTAACAAGCATGGCTTACTTAATGACACAAAATAAACGGAATTGTGCAGTACCCACCTCAGCTGTGAACCCCAGGCTCCCTTCAGAAGCACCTGTTTTTCAGTCACTTTTTAAAAGATGATAATTTTTTAAAAAAATAAAGATGAAAAAATGTGCCAAAACGGGATTTTTTTTTCCCTCAGGAAATGAAATAAAAACCCAACCAAGCAGGCTTCAGCAGTCCAACCAGAAGACTGGCAATCTAAACAGAGTGATTCTTACCCCTGATTTGGCATTCAAAGGTGCATTCTCACAACTCTGTAGCATTGTGAAGGACACAAGTCCTCTAGTTTCCCCTAATTCATCTTCCTTTTATACTTTCTTCTAAATACAAACTGTGTGTAGAAATCTGTTCTTTATCGCTTGCTGGAAACAACTAATAATAAGCCTTATGTTTTCAGGTGGGTTTTACCTGTTGATTTTAGAGGGATTACACTTGCCAGTAAGAGTGGAAAGTACAAAATCTGCTCTCTAGTGGTAGCGGATTTTTAGTGAAAGTAGTTTGGGAGTAGCTAGATGTGGAATTTACTTGCCAGACAACCAAGCTGGACTTATTATCATACTAACGATATAAGCTTTGTCTTCTTACCACAATTTAAAAACGCTTGATGTGGTTGTGAATCTTCATTGAAACAAAAAAAGCAAACATTCTATATATAGGCAGAGCCAAAAAACAAAGACATTTCATTAAACTGGCTAATGATACTTTGACTCTGGAAAATATTTTAAATTACAGACTTTTTTTGTTATGCAGTATGATTTTAAAATTAATACAGAAATTTTATTTTAAGGTAATACGTTAATGTGTATTTAATCATTTTACATTTGCAGTCTAAACAGGTCCTAATCACTAAGAATAAAAATAGGCATTTAGATAGTATTCTCAAGATTGCATCTGACATGTCTATAGAGCTAGATTTGGAAAGCTACACTTTAGGCTTGTGAACAAAAATGGTAGTTCTTAAACTCAGAAAAACTTGTAACTCTCAAAGACAATGATAAGTTGAAAAATAGAAAATTCTGCACGATGACAAAATTAAAGGCAGAAAGTAATTTCACAGGACGGTATACTGAGATGTAAAGTTGAAAAGAAAACAATTTGTCTACTTTAGGATTATGGCAGCAGCTGGCAGTGAAGGAGATATGGGCTTTTAACAATATTTACAGCTCTTGACTGCAACCATTTGAATACCAGGCACATTCGCACAAGGCACAAACTGTTCTTTGTTTAGTTTTCTGTTATGGCTTGTTAATAGTAGGTCCTAAAAATGGAAAGGGAGGAAAAAAAAAAGAAAAAAAAGGAAAAAAAAGCTTAAACCTCATCTGAAGCCTTTCTCTTATTTTCAAAGATTTCAAGTCCACTAGGAGTAAATTGGCCACAAGTATGAACAAATCTAGCATCTTCTCCAGGCAACTCATGTGCCAGAGCTGTTGATGCGAGTGACACATCAAATAATTCTGGGAGGTTTTTAAAAATGAAACAAGGGTGAAGGTTTTGTTGGTTCCCAACCCAATACTGACCTTCTATGAGATCTAGTGCATTCTTACTGCCTCCTGGCTGTTTAAAACCTCTCGGGCTGAAGCATGCTGCTGTTGCACACCTCAGCAAGGGCACTCGTGAGGGGCTGTGAGGGCAGAAACTGGACCAAGGTGTGACCGCAGAGAAGAGGGAAGGAAAGCAGCAGCAGGAAGGTGCAGGCAGGGAAGCCTCAGGAAGCTTCGGTGCACAAGGGAAAGCAGCTACAGCGTACATCCCTACTCTGGTAACCTAGGGTAACAACAGGTGTTCAAGACATATATCGCTACCACTATACACTACCGTTCTCAACTTATGCTTTCTTCTCAAGTGAAGAATATTTATTAAAACGACACTTGATAGAAGATGGGTTTTTTTGTTTCATTGGTGATGCCATACTCCATCTGTCAGTTTTTAGGAATAAATACCAAACGTCTTCTCAATTTAAATGAACACAAAAGCTTGCATTATTTGGGCATTTTGCTAAAATAACTTGGAGTCTTTGTGGGAAGACCTTTGCTGGACAACATTTCATTTTATTCGTGTGCCCTCATTAACATAATAAGTATGTGTTTGAATACAATTACATCCAGCTGTGTTTTCTTCTTGTGTTGCTTTTTTAACCGGACCACCATAGTTCAAATAGTGAGACGCCTGTCAGAGTACTCTGCTGCAAGATTCCCATTTAGTGTGTAGTATATAATTTGCATACTAATACTGTAAATAATTTTCAAACAGACTTCCTGGAAGACTTAAAACCTCTTCTATATATGTAAATAGAATGCTTATTTCTTTCAGGACTAATATTCCGTATGAAAACAATTCCCTCTACACACACACACACACACACAGAGGAGAGTCTTGTGACCTTGTTGAAATTATCATAAAGCAAGATCTAACCAGAGCAGAATTTGGGCCTCTTCTGTTTTAAAAGGGCTGGCTTAAAAACCTGTCATATATTCAAAGGAAACTTAGCTTCTTTTCATCCATCTGTTAGCCTGCCCTTAAATCATAGTACAAATGACATTGGATTAATTTGCAGCAAAGGACGTGTCAGTCCAGTCATGATAAATTCACCACTGAGATAAATGGATGCAGATAAATAATATAAAAAACTATATAAAAGATTTTTTAATCCCTACTTCAATTATCAGATAATCACATTAATATGAATTCCAAGCAGCACAACTTTCTATTCATGCTGTACAGGAGGCTGCCAAGAAGCATAGTGGAAGGGAGAAGTCTCCTCTGCAAGGAGAGGAGGTCCAAGAACTCCAGGTCCATCAACTTACATGCTTGGATTTGGCTACAGACATTTCAAAACAACAACCACCTGAGAGTATATTTAGTTAAAAAAAAAATCTTTTGATATTCACAGTATTTCCCTGATAAATGTGGCAACAGTGAATTAATTAATTAAGCCCTTGAAACAGATCTAACAGTGAATTAATTTTTTGACACCTGTAGCAACCATGTGGAAGAATTCATTGTTTACATCAAATGGCATGCTCTAGCCGTGATATATTTCCATCCAAACAGTGCAGAATATCTAATATTTATAGTCTGTCTCTTGTACAAATTTGCACACTCCAAGGACCGTTTTTATTGCTTGGTCACATAGCTAAAATCAGTTGCTATCAAGAGATTCTTTTGTGCAAAAATCTCTTTGCTATGGCATATTTCTAATTCTAATAATTTTAAAATCTTTAACAGAAAGAAAATTAATGTTTATAATTTTGTCAGTTTAAATTTTGGGGTTTTTTTTCTTTCTTAAATAATCTAACTAATTTATAAAGATATATTATATATATATAAAGCACTTATGACCATATTGATAAACAGTCTATGGAACCACTCTGACAGCAAAGGTAAGAACACGAGACAGCCTTTCAGTACCTCAGCACTTCTGTTTCCATCCAATTTTTTTTTAAAGAAACAACAAATAAAAATCTAACTGTGAATTACTTAAACCAGAATAACCAGAAGTTTTTCTTGTATCTGAGACAAATACACCCCTGTATGTGGGAAGGAATAAGCTCATGCATTGCAATAGGCTGGGAACTGTCTGTCTGTATTGCTGTGCTGTAGAAAATGATCTGAGGGAGAAGCTGAACATGAGTCAGCAGTATGTCCTTGCAGCACTGCAGACAAACCTCATACCCAGCTGCATTAGCAATAGCATTGCCAGCCGGCAAAGCAAGTGGCTGTTGCTTTTCACACGGCATCATGAGGATATACCTGGAATATCAAGACTCATTTTGGGACCCACAAACAGCACAAGAAATATATTCAAAATGGAAAAGTCCAGTGTAAGAACAGACTTTTTTCTGCTTGCAAGAGGGGAGAGCTTACTGTTGTCTTCTGGTGCCTAAACGGGGCTTGCAGAGCTAGACATGTTCCAGAGGTGCACCATAAAAGGACAGGAGGCAAGAGTCAGAAATTGTAGTAAAGGAAATTCCAGTTAGCGATAAAGAAATACCCTTCATAATAGAAGGAAGCAGTTGCTTAAAAGAGGCTGTGAAATTTCCATCATTGGTGATTTTCAAAGCTTGTTTAACCAAGGGGCTGGACAGTGTTATTCAACTTCATTCCTGGAGACACTCAAGGTCAGGCTTGATGGGGCTCTGTTACAACCTGATCCAGTTAAAGATGCTGCTGCTTACTGCAGGGGTATTGGACTTGACGACCTTTAAATGTCCCTTCCAACACAACGCGTTCTATGATTCTGTGAATTTAGCAATGCTTTGAAAAGGAGGTTGGACTAGAGGACCTCCAGAGGTCCCCCTCAGCCTACATTTCTGTGGTACAGCCTGTGATCTTTGCGAACTGCAGGGATTGAAATTCAAATAATCCACCTAACAGAACACTCCAATCAAGT